AAAAAAAAACCGAGAGCATTACTTTTACTACAGATCAAAAGAAGCGCACCTGACAGTATTAAGACTTGCGACATGCCCACAAGGATTAAATGCGTGATCGAGATTGCCAGAGTCTAGATGGAATGACGATTCCATTCCCATTGTCAACTGAAAATAGTCCTATTCACACTATTACTATCACATCGCCCTCACTCGATAACCCTTACAATCCGATAATGATGTGACGATGAAACGAAAATGCAATCAGCTCAGACAATGACCATTTCTTGACTGACCTGGATTACCCGTTCGCTCTCAGCCAAACATATAGGGCATTTGTAAGACTGCTGCCCGTTCGATGTCGAATGATGACCCCACTCATGCTTACCTTGCACGTGACCGCATCGTAAGTAAACCTAAAACTTTGACAACTCATTCAGCCAGAAAACTTCAAAGTGGCGCAGCAGCGCAATTTACATCAAAGAACAAAACCCACATAAGGCTGCCGACTACCACCTCCCTTCGTACTTTTCTTCTTTGGAATTATTAATGTGTTAAGATTCACAGGGCATTGGGGCTTTCCTGCATTTAGCCGGTCCAAGGCCATTTCTAATTCTTGAGCAGTAGGTGACTTTCTCAGGCCATCTGCAGTTCTCCACAAAAGAGTAGCACCACAAAGATCAATTAGAGACCCGTCCTAAAAAGAAAATTGATACAAGTGAGCACTTAAAAGAAGTATCAGGGGAACTTCGTTATATTTCAAACAGCTTTCGTTCAAAATTGACTGTAGTACAGTCTGTGTAAAGAAGTTGACAGCTCATTGAGAAAAGTTCAGCATATTCATGAACAGAAAAGACAGGAATCACATGTACAAAAAAGTAGTAGCATTAGTACAGAATGAAATAATGTGACAGTCGCAGGCGAATTCATAACATGGTTTTGTAGCACGAAGGTCAACAGTTACATGATACAAATGCTTGAGTCACTTAATGGCTAGACAGAGGCATTGGACACTAAAAAAAGTGATTTACTTTGACTTCATCGAATTTTTTGATAAATCAGCGAGAAAAAGCTGTTGAACTAAATTCGCTGGCTTAAATTCCATGAGAAGTGTATAAGTGAATCGAAGAAAATTTCAGAAAACGCACCTATCAGGCTCGCACAAATAACTCTTATTTGACAATCTATCAAGCAAAAACCGGAGTTTCTCAACGAAAGATGTTATGTTCTACATTTCTAATACATTATATATTAAGGGAGTTGAACTTGAGTGGCTTTCAACATAATGTAGTACGTGAGTAGTACACTAATGACTTGAAGTTCTACGGTGTTCAACTCTCCAAGGAAAGTCCAGTCTTTTCAGTCTTTCATATGCAGCCCTTTGGTGGTTGTGGTCCACTGACTGGTAAAATCCTCTGTCCTCCGTCGAATTTTTTCATATGCACTTGGGTCCCCCTGACACAATCCCCTACCTTATAAATGAGAAGCAGATTTCTAAGATCAATCAGATCAAGGACCGGGCTTCCTGCGCAGCGCTAAGCTCGATTTTTCTCCAGATTGCAGGTGATTATGCAAGAAAGCGTGCAACAACACATATCAGGCTTCTAAGGCTCTGATCACCAATATTGTAGAACGCTTATACAATTAAACAGAACTTATATTCGACCTTTGAGTGAAAAGCTCGAATCGTGGACTTTTGCCTATATGAAAAGAAAGATATTGCTTTGATTGAGAAGGTTTGAAGTAATTAGACCAGGAAAATGCTGGGCCGTCAAGGTGGCCTTTTATATTAAAATATCAGAGGCCAAAATAAGAACAAAGATTATGGCCTTCAGCTAGACGAACCTTTTTCGTTTTATGCATAATTTGCAACCTTCTAAGCGACATATCTGCGCTCAATAGTTCTCAATTTTTTAGCCTCACCCCCTCTACGGCGAGAGGAGCTCAGGTCAAATTGTCTTTCCCTAAAACTTGGAGTACCACTAGGCGCAATTCACGGTAAAGACAGGTCTCGCACGACTACACTTCAGAAAATCCGACAAATTCAATTAGTTCTAAGGCTCTGGGGCGTCCCTTAGACCTGGTAGATAGCTCAACCCACAGGAAATGCATAGTTGGTTACACCTGTCCATTTCTAGTTCATGTTCTTTTATCACCACAGCGTTTAGTGATATTGTAATTATACGTTATCTTATATAAAGTATTCAATGAATAGATAAATAAATAAATAAATAAATAAATAAATAATGAATTGATCGTACCTGCAACATATTCGTCTCTTCCGGGACCAATACGCCTCTCGCATTACTGCTACGAGTCTCGCGTAGTGTATAAATATCACCATCAACGGAAACCTCACGCCAGACATACATCGGAGGCACATCCTCATCGGATAAATCCTGAAAAAAATCATATTTGTTTTGAGGTTAGGAAAATGAAGCCTCAGAAAATTTGAAAATTGAAATGAAGACAGAAAGAGCAGAAATTTCTCATGATATTTAAACCAAGAAAAACTGCGCAATTTCGCTTGAATTGCAGTTCACAATTACGCTTAAAATTATAAAGCAACTATCCTTATCGTAATGCTACCCGAAAGATCAAACTTTTATCGATAAATTCTATACAATATTTATTTATTTACCTCTGTGTTCCTATTGGGATGCAAAATCAATATACCATTTGTTGTCAACCCGTCCATCTCTCCATTCTTTTTCATCCATTTCGTAGCCTTTTCCTACAACAACGAGCCCAATTAGCTATGAATTCATAACCACATCACTATCACTATAGAAATAAACAAATGGAATAACAAGAAATCAAACACACCCCGAGGAAAATGTTTTTCACCGAATCGAATCCGGCTGCATAAAGGAACGCCTTGTCGTAGTTCTCCCGATCAATGATTATTCGACAGGCATACCGACTTATCGTTGACGATATCATCTTGTGCGGATCGCTTCCTACTCGAGCTCTCGCTGGGCCGGAACCACCTGGAACAACCATATTATTGCGGTTATAAGGATAACAAAAACCAGTGAAACTTTACGTGTTAGGGAATACTATTCTCCAAAGAAAATTACACTTTTGGATCTTCAATACCATGTATCTTGTTGTGAGCGTTATATTTGTTCCTACTCCGTGCTCAACATATTCGAACTTAGAAATTGAAAAAACAACTGCCCCAAGGTTCGGGTTCAGCTCTTAACCCGTTGACGACCGCATAGCCCGCCGGCGGGCCAAAACAGCAGCGCGCAGATAACGTGTTCGGTCCCACAAAAGACGCGTTCGCCAGTGGATTAAAAAGTATTTGCCTTTATCAAGGACACGACATTCGCTTGTTTTTCTTCTCTACATACTAAATCAACAAGGGATCCAAGAACTTGCTAAGAATGAGAAACGCTAAAGTAGTTCGAAGCTGAAGAAGATGGGTGTTACCAATCGTTATCCTATGGTTGACTTCTGAGTTTTATGATTGAAAAAATGATCCACAAGCTGATGTACAACAAGATAACGAGCAATTGAAACAGAAAAGTTCTATATAAGATTTATAAGCCCACCAATATCAGTCATACCTGAAGAGGAAGCCAGTTGTGAGCCGGACGCGAGCCAAGTGTCTACAATGGTGAAATCAATTTGTTCTTCTGAAGAACGTCCAATCTGCAAAATATCCATGGTTAATCAGAAAATGGAAGTCCTATCGATCGAACAAATGCAGAAACGAACTTGAAACATATCCTTGAATGGGTCCGCCACATACTCAACGAGCACCGTCTGGTTTTTACTATATGAATACGAGACCACGTGGCGATTCCTATCCAACACAGCCTCAAAGACATTAATATGTCACAATACTACTTAACATTCAGCGGAATGGATTTTAAGGCTATAGAATTAGAAGCAAGAGGACAGAATATGCTGGTAAAAGTTACCGGTGCATCCTTTGCAGCGACATTCACTTGCGATACAGAACCCTTTTTGATGCCGTTCCCAACTTTCCTTCGCATTAACGCCATTTTGGTGCGATGCCGTTTTAATGGCACAGACGCTTTGCTGTCTTGACTGCCATTATACCTGAAAGACAGAATTCCCTCTTTCGTCAAGAGATTTCGAAATAAGATTCCGATAAAAGCCTGGTAGACATTTGGGTTTTAGTCATCCCTAAACATTCCCACTACTTACGCTGCTTTGTAGAATTTCTAATTTAACAGCGGTACTTGGTCAGAGCAAAGTCGCAAGAACAATTTGATTGATTGCCTAACAAAAAACGTTGTTTATTGAAGGGAAGCAAATTGTTTCGGGGAAAACACTTTTCCGAGAACATCATGCTTCATTTCATTAAAACAAATGCTTAGTGGTTCTGAGTTTAGATTCACCTTTATTTTCAGAAGAATGACTTCGAATTTGAAATTACCTGCTGAATAAATTGAAAGAAATAAGTTCAAGCCCTAAGAATTCAATCTTAAATCTCATCTCAATCTCAGATCAAAGGAAATATCATGAAATCCAAAAGTTTCCGGTGACAAGAAGGACGGCATCGGAGAAAGAAGTTAGTGCACAGCGTCGCCATCGGAATCATTCACAAATCTCCCACGCAACTAGTTATATTGGAGAACCCCATTAACCGGAATAAACACTCACCCTAGCAAAATGAGTTCGCCGTACTTTCCATCATCGTCATCTATGTTACCGGTCGCCATTAGAATTTCTGATTTATCGTTGACATCCACTCGAGCATTTTCGATATCTCGCGAATCTATTGAGATACCGTCGTGTTCATCAACACTCATCTGTAACAAAAGAGACTTAGAACATGTCTCCAATCGATAACACTGGAACAACGATCGATGAACAGCATTCGATATAGGAACCGGCCCGCAACATAAAAACCAGAGACAAAAAGTTAATCATGCATTATGCGAATTGAAACGGAATTAATAAAAGCGATCTTCAAAAACTACAATTAGAAAGCTTTAAGCAGCAAGCACAATAAAAAGGCTTTCATGGTTACTTGGACTTCTCAAAAGAACTGAAAGTTTAGCAGTAAATCTTTCTAAATAAAAGAAATCTTTAGAGATGATTTGACCCAAGTCCGACCCAAGTCAAAAAAAAAGTGTTATGGGATCAGAACCCACGACATCGCCAGTAGGAACAGCTGAGAGAGAGATTTTCAAGAACGATAAAATGAATTGTACGCAAAGGAACCGAAACATGTGAACGCACGACAGACTTGAACGGCTGGCGTGCTCATAATTGGACAATCGGATGATCGTGGGAACGTCAAGTGGGATGAGTCGCACAGTACAAGCTGACAGGGATTCCCCGTTCATAAACACCCCGGTACTCCACGATTCCAAGATGCGAGAGATCGATAAGTGCATATGCTCGTGGCGGAGTGCGCGTGTACGTGTCTCCACTATTTTGCGTCCCGTCAAAACCCGAGGGGGGAGGGATGCGAAGAAAGATAATGGGTTGAACTCGATCATGGTTCCAATGATTTGTGAGTCTTATTCGAACTGCAAGAATAACCCCTCTTATCCCGCACTACCGTCTCGACGTCTGTAGAGCTAATATGGTGCTGTGGGTGTGGTGCAGTAGGATCAAAATTGTCGCGACCTGGCCGCGCACGAAGGAATGTAGCGGAATACAGCAGCACGTAAGGAATACAGGAACAAAAGAACTAACATTAAAACCGTGCCAAAAAGAATAATCGCATGTTCTAATGACGGACCTCATCGAACATGCTACAGATAAAATGAAATGGAGATGGCTGTCATGAACGAGGACACTGTGAATTGATGCTAGGGAGAAGTAGACGAGGCTATCAGTCGATTCTAATAATAACTAATGAAGCTTTACGGTAGTAAAGCCTGGCCGCGCACGAAGGAATGCTTCATTAGTTATTATTAGAATCGTAGCGTCGTACTATTCCTCAGAATCGTATGATGTGGGGGCATAAGACAGACTAACTCGATGATCAGATCTCAGGCTCAGTTCGCAAGCAGTTTCCCACATCTGTGTTGAAACAGTATGGAAAGAATTTTTGGATGATGACTGATCGAATATCCGTACCGGATACCTTCTGTGAAAAGACAAATCGGTAACAAAACAACCACCCAAAGGCGTAAATAAAGAAGTATCGCCTGTTCGCTCGAATTACTTCCCGATTTAGGGGAGGACTGCAGAAATGAAGTGGATTCCCGATCGGGTACAAATGAGTCTGGACGCGATGAGCGATTCTTCCCTGGAGAAGAAGAGAAGTCCTCTTATCACCTACCATCCTGTTTCATATAGAGAAAACGCTAGTGAGCTCGTTCATAGGAAACGATCTTGGGTAGATGGAGTACGTTGGGTCTTTCCATTTCCTCCCCCTACAAATTTCGCTGTCCGCCTACCGATGTTGCGTACAGCAGGAAAAACCTTCTCAATTTCATGACGTGTGAGGTCAGAAGGCCTCAGCCTCATTGACCTGCCCTCTTTTGTGACAGATCCTTCGACCAGAGCGAACAAAAACGACAAAACCTATTGTATAACAAGGTCATGGGCACTACAAACTAACTACATTTGTCAGGAAGTGGTGCAGATGTATGTGGCTGCCAAAAAACGCTTGTAATTTGTAGAACAAGTAGTAGACGTGGTTAAGGAGCTCGGGAAGGGGAATATTTACAAATTAAGTGGATTTCCTAATAGAACCCAAAAAAGACGCTAGGGAAGTTAACCACAGGTGATTGGGTCGTGTTCGAAGACGCTTGCAGGCTGCTGCAGTGAGTATCTATAGGTAATACCGTCGTTTATCACCAGCAAGCGAAACCAAAAAGGCCATCCACCTAGATATTAACCTACATTGGGGTCAATTAAATAGTACTTCAATGAAGAAACGAGCAGTTGCTCCAGGTCATCAAAAGAGAACTCCCTTCCCTTGGTGGATGTTGGACCACTTCTTGCTGTGGCTACAAAGTTGACTTGGCAGGCTTGACGTTTCTATATTTTGCGGCATCGCCAAAAAGTCTGAATGCGATTAGGGATTCGCTGACGAACGAAGAATGCTTATTCTTGTAATCTGGCTTTCGCCAAAAAAAGAACCGAGAAAGAGCAATCACTCGAATGAACCACTAGCACCACCAGCAATTTTACAGTGAAGTGGAATGCCCGGATCAATCTCTTCATCCACAGTATCGCTCGAGAGTCTTCGGCCAAGTGCTTCTTAAGTCGTACTTTTCAGTCGAAATTTCGATATGTGTAGCATGGTTGTATTGTGAATATTTACCACTATTAACCTGCAATCTGATCATGTTCCAGATATCCCAAAGGGCATGAACTCAGAATCAACTGGAAATATATATGGACTGTGGTAACTTCTGTAACTTCTTCCCTTTTTGCGATGTCTTAAGTGTACGAGCGCGGTGTCGAACGCAGTAGAGGAGAAAAACGCACATAAAGTACGATTAACTGTAGACGTTACTAAGTTTGCTTCCAGGGAAGTCTACTACCGCAACAATTACCTTCCCCTTGGTAAGATTGAGAAAAAAGTGCTGCCCGAAAACGCGTGAAAGCGTTTGGGCGC